GCAGAGAGGACTGAGGAAGTGGTTCTCACATATGTGTGTCCATCTGGCATTAAAGCCCTTCCAGACACAAACTCATATTTTTAGACAGAGTCTTCTATTTAGAAACAAAATGACTATGGCTCTAAACATGTCCTTTGATCCCTAAAGATGGTAGTTTTAACTTTTTTAAACGATGAGTTTTCTTGGACATATATACAGATAGTATATTGTTGCCATGGTAATTCCACTCAAAAAAAAAGAAAAGATACTGTTTGGGTAAAAGAATAAAATGTTCAACCATTAAAACCCCATTAGAGGGGCCCTTTTGTTGTTCTATCCCCACTACAGTTAAAGTAACAAAACACTGCTTCTTGGATCCACCACAGCCCAGTAAAGCCAGCCTCTCCCCAGTGGGAGTACATCCCTGACTCAGCCTCACCATCCAAGATCACCCATGCCCTTCCTCGACAGGACTCCACTTCCCAGGAGATAACAGGGGACCACTTACAATGGGATGACAGCCCTGCTCTAGTCACTCCAAAAGCTGACTAGTCTATACACAGAGGAAGCTCAAACATGGGACACACCCCTGCTCTCCTCTATACACTTGGACTCTTGGGTTGGCTCTTACAAGGTATTTCTCACATACTAAATGTTATAACAGAACATTGCTGGGACCTCCGCACAGCCATACTTTGTATCATGTACCCACCAACAGGTCAGATGTTAAATCAGCTCATATACTCCCAGGTTAATGAGGTTGCTGGTAAGTGGCACTAAAAATCCAGAGTAAAGAAAACAATACAGACTACATTTGTCATAAAAAGTGGGACAATGAGTCTTATCTTGGGAGCATATTTGATGTTACCCCCCGTTGGTATAACAGAATATCAGGACCATTATGGAGGCCACTATAAAAAACAAAACAAAACAAAAAAATGGCCGTGCATGTAATGATGCTATAAAAATACAAATCCTTAGATCACAATGGTGCTCTTTGACCCTAGGTGGGTCTGAGCATCAAAGTGGGGAAATGATGTAGCAGGGAGAAGGAACCAAAAGAGAAACAGACAGTCTATGTTCTGATAATGAGGCAAGGGGAAGGGACGGGAAAGCAGAGAGATAAAACTTAAGGAATTAAAACATAAAGACGGTCATATAACATGGTGGGAATGAAATAGCCAATAAAGTGGGCTGAGCGTTGCTTTTTGTTTCTATAACCTGCTTGTATATAAGGTGAGACCTCTTTGTTCTCAGGGCTCAGCCTTCAGACACGAGTCCACTGAGTCCATACTGACATAACAAAATGTTCCTTCCTGCTAAACTACCTCAGTGTTCCATATCTCAGCTTGAGAGTCCCACAACAGGGAGACCTAGATTCAAATCCTAACTTCATCACTAACAAGGAACTTCAGTTACTTCACCTCTTTATATACTTCCTCAATTGGAAATGAAGTAAATAATCACTGCATAAAAAATTATGAGGATTAAATAAATACCTTGTATAAAGAATTTGGCACATTCCCAGGCTCAATAAATGTTAGCTAGCATTATTATCTTTTTTGGTGGTACTGGGGTTTTGAACTCAGGGCCTCACACTTGCTAGGCAGGCACTCTACCACTTGAGCCACTCCTCCAGCCCTTTTTTGTGACCGGTTGTTATGAAATAGGGTCTCTTAAACTATTTGCCCAGGGCTGGCTTCCAACTGAGATCCTCCTGATTTCTGCCTCCTAAGTAGCTAGGATTATAGGTGTGAGCCACCAGCGTCTGGCAGCCAGCATTATTTTGACCATTCTTGAATGCAAGAACCCTGTGTTCCTTGTGCCCACTTGCCAGTGCCCAAGACAACACCTTACATGATTAGGGACTGAATAAATGTTAACTGAATGGAATGTTTGGTTTTGAAATACTGATATTTCTTGCATTAGTCTAATACTTTCACCTCCCTCAATTTCATCTGCTTAGTGCTGACTGTAGATAAAACAGAAAATTAGAGAATGGTAATTAAATGTACACCATTATGGAAACTTTCATATGAATATTCTTTTTACTTCCATAGACCTATCACATCTGTGCTTATTTTTTTCTCCCAAGACTTCCATCAAGTGACTTCAGAAACTTTATATAAGTGCTCACCTCAGCAGCACATCTACTAGAAGGCTGTTCATGGAACAAACCAAGCTTGTATCTGCCACCAGAGCCACTGCACTTGCTGGTTCTTTTTGTCCCTTGGGTATTTATATACCTTGTTAACTTTACTTCCCTGTCTATACTAAAATGTCATCAATGTCACTCTAAAAAGTCCCCCATAAATACTTACGCTATTTATTGTTGTTGTTTTGTTTTTTGAGTGTGTGTGTTTGCAGTGCTGGGGATCAAACCCAGGGCTTCACACATGCTAGACATTCTCCCACTGAATTACATCCCCAGTCCCCACTGTTCTAGGAAAACAAAGTCCTTACTTAAATTGTAGTTAAGGAAACGAACAACAAACAAATGAATAGAGCCGTGCGCCAATGGCTCACGCCTGTAATCCTAGCTACTCAGGAGGCAGAGCTGGAGGATCGCGGTTCAAAGCCAGCCAGGCCAAACAGTTCGCGAGACCCTATCTCCAAAAAACCCTTCACAAAAAAGGGCTGGTGGAACGGCTCAAGGTATAGGCCCTGAGTTCAAGCCCTACTACTGCATTAAAAAAAGGTATCAGCCAGTGACAGCCATTAATAACAAAAAAATCAGGGGCAAAACAAAACCAGTGCACAAAATAGGTCCTCAATAAGTATTTTCTAATGAATGAATGACTCAGACACGACACAGAAAACCTTGTCCACTGCTGGGCAAAACTAGGGACTCTTAGTACCAAACCCGCACCTTCCCGCTATAACGCAGACGTTCAAGGGGACACCCAGTCTCTCAAAGGCTGAGGGAGCGCTGCAGAGAAGAAGCGAAGGAGGCACAGATGGAAATGCGGGAAAGGGGCTGAATATTTAGGACGCAACCTCAGAACTTTACCCATGGAAGGTATCGAGAAAGCCCCGAAATCGGTGTGGGCGAGCTGGGGGTGGAGTAGGGTGTCTTTTATTCCCTTCTCTGCTCCAGACCTCAATTTACCTATCTGTGAAGGGAAAGGGATAGAAAGCCTCTTCCCGATCTGACGTTCTTTAATTTCCCATCCCACCTTGAGCAAACTTCCCGAGCGATTGACCCACGCCAGCTTACCTCACGCCTCCTCAAGCAAGAGCTCCAGTCCACGGTCAGAGACCGCGCTTCCGCTCCACTCCGCGACAACACCGGCGCCAGCCGCCAGGAAGGACCCCGCGGACGCTGCGGTCGCGTTTCTACCTCAGAGGACGGACCTCAGCCTGAAGACCGGCTCGGAGGAATGCTGGTCGCGAGACAGGACAGGAACCAGAAAGGGGACATTGTGGGTCCCAAAACGAAGGTATAGGATGCCTCAAAGAAAGCGAGGCCTGAAGATGCACTAATCTTGTCAGGCGCCTCGGGGCCACCCTGAAAGGGGGCCTTCGGGCCGATCACGTGGTCAGACTGTTGGCGCAGTTGCTGGGCAACCACAGCTCTAGGGCCCGGAACGAACTGAACTGCTTTCAGTTAGAACACATTAGGGGACCCCCAAAGAAAACAAGGGAACCAAGTGCGGGGCTGCTGGGTGAGAGTCTGGAGGCTGAGTTGGGGGGATGGAAGGGTTTTTCTAGTCATTCGATGACTAGGGAGAGCTCAGAACTTGACAGGAACTCTGGCACAGCGGTGCTTGCATGCAGTCTCAGCTACTCAGGAGGTAGAGCCGGGAATATCAGGAGTCTAATAAGAGTACGTGACCAGCCTGGGCAGCAAGAACAAAAAAGCCAACCCCCCTCAACCCCCCCAAAAGAAAACCTCCAAACTGGACATAGGCTGGACACCTGAGTTCAGTTGCTGGCCAGCCCAGTTCCTTAGCATTCAGCTTCCCCACGTTGGGTAGGGGTGACTTTGGAGTTGCTTGCAGACCCCAGGGCTGTTCATGACTAAACCACAAACCACAAAATCTAACTCAACTCACCAGGAGTTTGAGGCTCAGAGAGGTTTCAAGCAAGTAAATTCCAGAGCCTAGACTGAAACCCATATAGATTTCCCTGTAGAAACAGCCCAGAGATTGCTGCCTGAAGACATTACCCACATTCCTACACACCTGTCCAGCCCTAGCTTGAACAGAGGGATGTGGACATGGGGATCATTGAACTTCTGCCTCTTCTACTTGATTTATTGCTCAGTTGTTGCCTCTTTTTCACTGTTTGGGTGAAAAGTTTACTTCCTCATTAAAGACATTCAGTGAATGCTGGGGGCTGGTGGCTCACGCCTGTAATCCAGCTACTTGGGAGGCTGAGATCTGGAGGATTGTGGTTTGAGGCCAGACCAAATAATTCGGGAGACCCAGAGTGTCTGCTTTGCAAGCACAAAGCCCTGAGTTCAAACCCTAGTTCCCACGAAAGAAAGAAAGGAAAAAGACATTCATTGAAGAATGAAGTTTTATCCCTGGGCTTAAGAGTAATAAGAGTTCTGCATTTGTGTGAGGTCCTCTATGGAACAACTTGCTATAGATCGATCCTGTGTGAAAGAATGAAGGGAATGAACTGTGAGATCCAAATGCCTCCTCAAAATTATTTTTTTGTGGTGCTGGGGATGGAACACAGGGTCTTGCACATGTTATGCGAGTGCTGTACTACTGAGCTACATCCCAGCCCCTAAAATATTTTTAGAAGCAGAGAATAAAATTAAGGCAGGGCTCCAAACGGAAAGTCAGGACTTTGTTGTATTTTTAGTGGCAAGTGTTGTGTAAGTCCTCCTCAGGCTACTCAGCTTGTATCTGTAAAAGTAGAAAACTAGATTTTTGCAACATTTCCCAAGATAAGTGTCAGAGTACTCTTGGGTCACTTTGTGTTCTGGCAAAGAATCCAGAAGCATCCTCTTTTCCCTGATATTGAATCTCCACCGATATGCATTCCCTTTGCCTTCCCAGGCACAGGCCATGGAAAGGAATGATTTGATCGACTTCAAGGCTTTGGAGAAAGAGCTGCAGGCTGCACTCGCTGCTGATGAGAAGTATAAACGGGAGAATGCTGCCAAGTTGCGGGCAGTGGAACAGAGGGTGCCTTCGTATGAGGAGTTCAGGTTGGCTCACTGCCGTTGTTCTCATGCCTCCCTGTCATGGTGGACAACAGTGGTAAACAGCATGCACTCTGGATTCAGACCATTATGAGTTTCTGTCTTAGTCCCGCCCTTTACTACTTGTGTGATTCCCTGCAAGTTCCCTAACCCCTCTGAACCTCAGTTCTTTATCTGTAAAAGAGAGTAATGGTTGTTATAATTAAATGAATTATTTCATGTAAGACTGAGCACAGCATTTAGCACATGTAAGGTGCTTGAAAACTTTCAACACCCTCTACTGTTACTGTTGTTATTGTCCTATTGTCCTGTACACAGGTCCAGTCTCCATCAGGCAAAGTAGCTGCCTGACATCTAGAGATACAACATTAAGTTTATCCCCAGATTTCTGTCCTTTGCTCACAGGGGTATTGTCCTTGCATCACACCTGAAGCCACTGGAGCGGAAGGACAAGATGGGGGGAAAGAGAGCCGTGCCATGGAACTGGCATGCTACTCGTGGAAGTGCTTTCCAGGATGTGGCCACTGAGATCTGCCAGGTAGGTGAGGCCCAGCCCCCTTAGCCCATCACTGTTCTCATTCTTACAAGACCTACCTTATCCATGGGAAGTCAACAGAGACAGGATCTTGCCTCCAGTTCCAGAAAGAACAGCAGCTAGCAGATAGTGGGGCTGATTTGAACGGGCAAGAATGAGTCAGAAATTGGGCTGGGCATGTCCCTTCTGTCAGTCCTTCAACTTCATCCCCAGATCAGATTTGGATTGCTCTGCCTCCGCGCTACATGGTAGATAGTATCATGACTGGGGGCAGGATCAGGAGAGAGCCCCAGCCTGCCTTGACTCTCACTTGAGTTCCTTTCTGTCTACCTGAGATTTCCAGTCACTTCTTCCCCACTTCTCAGAACAAACTCTGGCTTACTCTGGAAGAGCAGCACTGTGCCCTTTTCCTCAGTAGGAAAACCCCAGTATAAGTAAGAAGTTCAAATCATGACCTGAATTCCTTGGGCCATCCCATCCCCAGTTCCTTCCTCTACAAATGAAGCCCACAGGGACCACAGATTTCTCAGGACTCAGAGAGCAACCCATAGCTAAAATGAAGTCCCCAATGCGTCACTCCAACTCACGATCATCACTGAGCAGCCAGAAGAGCTCTGAACCCCTTTTCCTTCTTTGTAATCCAGGAAAAGGCTCCGTTCCAGCCTGGGACCTCAGCAGAGTTCTACCGCGATTGGCGACGCCACTTGAGGAGTGGGCCAGAGCGCTACCAGGCCCTGCTGCAGCTTGGGGGTCCCAAGCTGGGCCACCTCTTTCAGACAGATGTAGGGTTTGGACTTCTAGGGGAGCTGCTGGTGGCACTGGCTGATCATGTGAGGCCAAGTGACCGAGCGGTGGTTCTGGGGATCCTGCATAGCCTGGCCAACACTGGGCGCTTCACCCTGAACTTGAGTCTGTTGAGCCAGGCAGAGAGAGCGAGCTGCCAAGACTTATTTCAGAAGCTGCAGGCCATGGGCACCCCCAAACCCACACAGGAGGAGCTCATCCGGGATGAGTCAAATGTGAAGGAGCAGTCTGATGAGGTCCAGGAGGAGGAGGGGCTCCTGAAGGAGCTACTAGGGCTGTACCAGGTCCATTGATACGACCAGCTCTTGGGGGCATATTGTGGTGGTTGTCTTGGGGTTTCTGAAGGACTGTGGTGAGAAATCCACCCTACTTCCCTTCTCAACTAGTACTTTTCAGAGAAAAAGCCGGACGCTTGCCCACTTTTCCAATCCCTCTTTGTCTCGATATTTAAATGTGTGGATCCACAGAACAGCCAAAGGCCCACAAGCTTGAAAGTAATTTTGGTTCCCACCCTTTGGGTCTGTCTGCTATGCCTCTAGCCCCCTGCCCCTGAGAGGTGGGTATGTTCCCAAACAAGTGCTATCCACACCAGGTACAGCCTCTCCACTCAGAAAATAAAAAGCAAACATATTCATCTTCCATGGCAAATAAACACCAATCTCCATAGCTCTTGACAAGAATATTTATAACTCAGAGCCAATGAATGGACAGTTAATCCACAGTAATGAAATGTTACTTTATTTTGGATGCAGAATTTTTCCCTAGGGACTGAGTTCTTATGCAGCCTGGACCTGCAAAAGCCCCAGTCCATTGGCTCAGGTCTGGCCAGCATCCCAGATGACCAGATGTGCAGGACACAGTTTCATTCATTTCCCAGAGTGATGAAACATAAGAACTTGATCCTGGACAGGCAGGGCAGGGCCCTACCCAGTGAGGCAGAGAACCCTGATGGCTCATTCTGTTTTCCCTTGATCCATTCTTAGGTAAGTACCAGTGTTCTAGAAAGGTGAAGGAAGGCCAGGTTCTAGAATGATTTTTCCTGGAGAACAGGCCTGGAACATTAGAAGGACAGCTTATACATCAGCTGGTAATAAATTGCCTTGCTTCCTCTATAGAGTGTTGCTGCTTTTCCTGGCTGCTTAATCCTTTCCTCATATAGAGGCCTCCTCTCAGCAGTGATTTCTAGAAACCCATTTGGTGGCCCTGCCCCACCCACCCCTCTCTCCTGCAGGCATGAGCCTGGCTCATACCACTGTGCTCCTATGGGTCTGGAGCACTCTCCAGGCCTTTGAAATTGTGGAGAAGGAGAACATCTTTCAGAAGACCCCCTGCCCTGCTTTCCTGATGTTTGACAATGCAGCTTACCTGGCTGACATGAGCTTCGAGCTTCCCTGCCACTGCAAGCCTGAGGAGGTTTTGACTGTGGTCTGGTACTACCAAAAGCACCTGGGTAGCAGCCACACCAAAGTGCTGACAGATTTCGACGGGCGGTTGCTGACAGAGGCATCTCAGGTGCGAGCGGGCAGTGACATGCTGGTCCGCTTCAGCATCCACATGTTCAGCCTGTTGGTCTTCCGGGCCCAGCCTGAGGACTCGGGCCTGTACTTTTGTGGTACCCGCAAGGGGGACTACTTCTATGCCTACGATGTGGACATCCAGAGCAGTGAGGGGATGGTGGCCATTTTCAAGGACAAAGGTCAGGAGCCCTTTGCAGATGAGTACCATGGGAGCCTCCGTGTCTTCACCACCTTCTGGGAGTGGACCCCCTGTGACCGCTGCGGAGTGCGGGGGGAACAGTGGCGCATAGGCCTCTGCTACCTGCAGAGCCCTGACCTCTCCCCGAGATACCGTAAGACACTGCCTGACGTGGTGTCCTGTGGATCACAGGCTGTGCCAAGGAAGCTGCGCGTCATGGTCAAGGGCCACATGCCTGAGCTGCTGGTTCAGAGCTGCCTGGTGCCCTGCAAGAAGAACCAGATCCAGAAGGGCATGCTGGCCATCTACAACTTTGTGTCCAAAGTGGGCAGCAGGCCCTGGATGCCCCAGGTTCCCATTCAGTTCCACCAGCAAAGACTAGGCCATGGACTCATCATCTCCTGTCCTGGGGCCCGGCCAGAGCATGCTGTGGCCTGGGACAAGGACCACCAGCGCCTGTACCGCACACAGTACCTGAAAGGCGTCAACAGATCCATGAGAGTGTTCATTGACCATGGCAACCAGCTCCACATCCGCTTCACCCAGCTGAGTGACCGTGGTATCTATTACTGCTGGCGGCAGGGTGTGAGGATTGCTGGGTTCCGCCTGGGTGTGACATCCCGAGGGCGCTATCCAGCCTCACTCTCTGACCCTGAGACTCGCTCTGCCGTGCAGCTCACCCTGATAGGATACCTGCTCATCATAGTAGTCTTTGTCACCATTCACCTCTGTCGTTGCTGCTGTTACTTGTTTCGCTTTTGTCCCAACTTCTCCCCCTAGGCTGTCCCTTCCCCAGCTCTGAAGAACTGATGTGCTTCAATGTGTTTGTTAAATGATACCAGATGCCTCTGGGGGGGCACCCTGGTCTGGGACATGTGGCAAGGAGATGTGGACAAATCTGTTAGTAACATCCTGTCCCCTGATTTTGTGGGTGGGTCTGGGCCTGATCTAGGGAGTGGGGAAGCCGGAAGCAAGTGGGAAATTGGGGACCGAAGTCAACAGGGAAGAAGTCGGGGCACACGTCTTCTCACTTCACACTAGGATGAGGAGGAAGTGAACTGATCATCAGATTGCCTATCAGTGACCTCCAATGACAGCATTGGAGGTGCTATGCCATCTTGCCTTTGAAATTGGCCAAGTGTGCACTGGTTAAACTGAGGGTAGCAGAGAGTGGAAGGAAGGAAAGAGTGGAGGGAACTAGTGAATGTCCTCCTTGGCTTTCTCCTTAGCATCTATTCAGCAGCTACCTGAATAGCAGGTAGAAGTAGTAGGTGTGTCAATGAAGGTAAAGACTAAGATAAGGAATGGGTGTGGAAAACAGAAGTCAAATTCAGGGTTTTGCTGAGCGACTGCACCTAGGCTGGGGTCTGTGGATGAGAAGAGGGGGTGGAGTAAGGCAGGCCAGGACACCAGGGCTCTGGTGGTAGAGTAGGTTGGAGCTGGAAGTTGATGTGTGGCTACTGCCATGGGGACTTGGGCTCCCAAGATGATCAGTGATAAAGAGCAAGTTGGGTCTTGTCTCCAGCCCACCCTCTCGTGAACACATCATAGTTTACTCCGGGGAAGGCTGAAGCACATGTCTTTATTTCTCCTCAGGGGTAAAGGTGGCAGCACTGCCTGAAGGTTAGCAGCAGTAGCAGCAAGGAGTGGGGGAAAGGGCACCAAGTCTTGAGAGGAGAGTGGAACACCATTCTCCCTTTTTTGTTCTCAGGAGAGGAGGACCCAGAGCAGACCCCTTCAGTTACCCACCACCTGCCCAGCAGCCCAGCCAGGGAGAACAGAGCAAGTGCTCTGGGGTGGAAAAGTCTCCTCCAGGTAGCAGGAACACAAACTGGTATCATCTGGGTTTTGTTTTGGTTTTTTTTTTTGGTCTTTTCTTTTTTGGTGCTGGGGATGGAACCTCTTGTGCATGCAAGGCAAGTGCTCTACCACTGACCTACATCCCAGCCCCAAACCAGTGTCTTCACTCCACTCATACATTAATTTCCCAAATTATAAAATAGGGTACTGCCTAAAATACAAGCAGGATATGTTTTGTATGTGAGTAAGAGGGGACCCAAGGAGCCTGTGGCTGATCATTACAGGGTGAAGAGGCTCGGATAGATGATGGTGGCTCACCAGGGTCCACAGGCAGCAGTCACAGGGCTCAGAAGCCTGAGTAGTCAGGGATTATGTAGCCAGGAAGAGGCCTTCAGAACTGGAACACAACTGTGCTCTGCCTGTGGACAGCAGCTCCTCTCTCTCCCATTTCAGCCTCTTCAAAAGGATGAGTCACTTCCTTGATTCCCATGACCCAGAAGTTAAGTGTAGCTGGTCGCCCACAATCTCCCATTCTGATGTCTGGCATCATTCTGCCTCTACTCCTCCAGTCTGCACAGGAGGAGTTCTCCTGTGCTGATCTCTCTGTACCCACACCTCAGGGCCAGGTAGCCCCCCTCTACTCCCTCTCAGCACCCCTTCCCTCTCCACTTACGCTGAAGATCCCCAAGTGCTGAGAACCAAGCTCCCATATGCTCACAGACTGGTTCCCTGCATGGCAATTCAGTGGGGCCGAGACACTCGAATCATCACTCAGGAGGCCCCTCTGGGACCTGAGCGGGCCAGGAATTCTGTCTATTGACTACTCCAGGTGGCAGGACGTCTCCACCCATTTCTAGATGTGCAGGGTCATTCTTGAACAAGTCTCCGGCCAGGGCTACCTTGTCTTGGGAACTTCTCCCCTTCTGAAGTTCAGTGTTCCCCCTCCTCCCCAGCAGCTTGAGGAAACTCAAAGCCAAGTTCCCAGATACCCCCAGAGACCTCCAGCTCTGGCAACAGTTGCCATAACAACAGGGATGAAGGATGTGATTTGTTAGGTCTCCTTGCCCTGCCCAACTTTTCTCTTCCCTCCCAATTCTAACCCAAACTGCTGGTCAACCCCCCAGGCTGTCCCTTTGGGGTGAGTGCCCTGTTAGTTGGGGGTGCTGTGTGCTGCATGGGTGCAGGCTGGCGGACCTAATGCTGACTGAACGTAGGGAAGCAAGCTGGCATAGAGGCAGAGGAGGAAGGGAGTACTAAGGTGTAGGGAGGGAATCAGGTCTGAGGAATGGAGTTATTCCAGGAGGAGCAACAGTCCTGCTCCCACTGCAGGTCCCTCCTCACATCACATCCTTGTGCTCCTGCTTGGACTCCTTAATGACCTGCAGGGGACAGGGGAGGAGCACAGTGCACAATTAGGAGCTCACATAGACCCCCAAGCCAACCACGTTAGGCTGGGCAACCTGAGGCAAGTTGTCTTTTTTCCCTTGACAGTAACCACAGTTACATCACAGTCAGGGTCGGGAGTGAGAAACCACTTGTAAAGCATTTAGCACTGTGCCTGGCACATGATAAACTGATGACGTAAGAAGAGTAGAGGTTACTATTGCTGCCATTCCATCTGGGAATTCTCAGGGGCCGTGACAAATCTCTTCCCATTCCTCTGGGTAAAATATGAAAGCCCTCCCTCTCCCCAGCTGTCCCAACCAGACCTGGGGGTAAAAGCTACAAACTTTAATTCTCTTCCAGGCCTAGTCCCGGGGGCACCTGAGTCTAGAGGGTGAGCAAGGGAGAGAACCTGAGACAGCCCCCATTGAGTGGCCTAGGGGCCCAGGTCCCCTTAGCACTGCCAATGGAGGGACTGGGCAAAGGAAATTACATTCAGGTTTTGTCCCTTTTTCCTCTGGGGAGCTCCTGGGAATCAATGTGCCTTCCACGAGCCAGTGCCAGGCTTTCTCCACAGAACTCCTGGGAGCAGCCAGAATACCTTCTCACCTCTCCATCTCGCATCTCCACAGTCTTTACCACGATATTCCTCTTGAGGTGACCTTCTGACACTGACTTAGTGTCCAGGCTGGTTTCTGCAGGTGTGAGGAAAGAAGACCTCCTGTGGGCTCTCAGGACACTGGATGTTCTCTCCTGCGCCCAGAGTCCCCATCATGCATCCCAAATCATGATCATGAGAGCTCATCCAGGAGGAAGAGAGAGCACTGGCTCTTCCGAAGAGGCTGGAGACACCCAAGTCCCTCTAATGTTGAGTGCATTCTGCTGCTATCCAGTGCCCTGCTCTGTCTTTTGGCCTGGCTTCATTTCAGCCTGGCACCTGGCTTCCTGACAACTCAGTACTGCACCAAGGAAGAAGCATGTGAGCTTTGAAATCTGGCAGAGCAAAGTTCAAATCCTAGTTTAGCCACAAACCAGCCATATAATGTGGGAAAGCCTATCAGCCTCGCTCAGCCTCAGTTTTCTCATTGGTAAAATGGGGATCATGGTGCCTACTTTTCTAGGTGGGAGCAAGGAAACAATTAACAAAATAATGTACATTAAACATCTGGCACATATTAGTGCTCAGTACATGTGGGCCCTGTTCCTGTCCCTTTTCTAGGGGGACTGGGGTTTGAACTCAAGACTTTGTGCTTGCAAAACAGGCATTCTACCATTAGAGCTATACTTCTACTCCATTTTGCTCTGGTTATTTCGGAAATGGGAGTCTCATCAACAGTTTGCTGGGCTGGCCTCAAACCATAATCCTCTGGAGCTCAGCTTCCCAAGTAGCTGGGATTAAGTATGAGCCACCAGAGCTCAGCTCCCCTTTCTGTCACTTCCCTGGACCCCAGTGACCCCTGACTAGCACCTGATAGTATTGCCTCTACCTGATTAGCCTGGTTAACCTTCAGGTGCTGAATTAAGTCCTGGGATGTGCATGTCTAGTGTTCCTAATAGTCAATCCCAGAAGAGGAATTTTTCCCCTTATCTAAGAATCATTTGAGGACCACATACCAGTAAAAAGTAATTTAGTCTGCCCCGCTTAGAGAGAAAAATATAACATGTCACATTCACTAGTATTTAAAATTAAGAGCAGGGAACATAACACTTTATTCATTACAAGAGCAGCAGTCCAGAGGGAACAAATCCTCTGGGCTGAATCAGCACTGAGTAACAGCTCCTTGGGGACAGATGAATCAGGCAGAGAGCCTGCCCATCAGCCACAACAAAACCCAGAGGGACTTCCCAGTGACAGAAGAGGTGAAACAGAGGCTGGCATTTGCTCAAAGGCCCCAGAACATCTCATCTGAACTCCCAGGGACACACCACCTTTAAACTGACCAGCTCTGCTACAGTTACCTGGTCCCAGGTCTTGAGCTAAGCACTGAGGCTCCTGGGCAAAGGACATAGTCCAGTCTTTTAGGGAAATCATGGGAGGAGGAGCCCAAGAGGACCAGGAAAATGGACTTGGTGATGCTCATTCCTTATCAAGTTGGGAAAATCAATGGCAGCTAACCGAGAGCCGGAGGGGCTCCATTCACAATCTGGTGAGCCTGTATGGGTATAACTTGTATTGTGAGCCTTTTGAGATGTCTTGTGACCTTGTGAACTTCCCTTTCTTTGGTGCTTTTGCCCCCTGCAGTGACAAGCAGTTAAGAAAAACAAAAACATAAAACACTCAGAAGAACAGAAGTTTCCCTGGGCTTGAGCACAGAGCATCAGTTGAGACCTCACCCAGATCTGCAGCACAATGGGGTGCAGGGACAAGACGGGGGAGGGAGGCATGGGGCAGAACAGGACAGAGGCAGCAGCATGCCCCACCTGCAAATGCCCTTTGACACCGTGCTCTAGCTAGGAGCCGCACAGAGAGCCCAGATCCCTTTTCCCTCCCTGACCCAAGGCTAGAGCAGCCCAAAGGCCTAAGGGGGGAGGTGGGAATTCAACACCCTTCTCACAAGGCTTCACTCTACTGACCTCGGATCTGCAGGTTAGAGAAGGTCTGCACAGGAATGGTGATGCTGAAAGACAGTGGAGGAACAGGGATGATGAGGTCACCCTAGGACATCCCTAAGCCAGGCTTTGGTCAGGGCCAGCATGACAACCTCAAGGTCCTTTGCCTTGCTAGGAGAGTCTGACTCCATCCCCGTTTTCCCCAGCAGCCAGCACTCTCCTTCTAGAGCTCCTGAAGTCTACAAAGGCCTTGGGAGTTATCTACCAGCAGAGCACCTCCACGAAAGTGAGTGGAGGTGTGGGAGACAAGGAGGGAGGAGAAAGTGGTGAAGCGAATTCCAAGGAGGCAGAAGAAACCAGTCAGGCCAGGAGAAGGCCAATTTTTGATGGCAGGATGGGTGATTAAGTCTCAAGTCCTGGGCCCTGGGACTTAACCCATATTTGTTATTTGTTGGATCCATTCATCAGGCATTTATTGAATACCTACTGTGTGTTGGGCCGACACTGGGGTGGGAAGGACTTGGCACAAGGTTGAATAACTTCGAGGGACTCTAAGGAGAGGCATCAAGGAATTCCCTACGGCTGTGGTCGGGACTCACCGGTTCTCCTCGCCCTCTAGCAGCTTCCTGTAGGTGGCGATCTCGATGTCCAAGGCCAGCTTGACGTTGAGCAAGTCCTGGTACTCCTGCAGGTGGCGAGCCATCTCGTCCTTGAGGCTCTGCCCCTCCTCCTCCAGCCGGGAGAGCGCCTCCTGGTAACTCGCAGCCTCCCGCGCATGGCGTTCCTCTTGCTCACGCATCTGCCTCTCCAGGGACTCGTTCTGCGGGTTTGCAGCCGGCTGGTCCCTCTGGGCCCCGTCACGTGGCTGGGCACTCGGACCCCCGCTGGACTCGAGAGGCTCTGAGGCCCCGCCCCAACCCACCTCTGACCCCGCCCTCAATCCGGGCCCCGCCCCTGGCACTTCCCTTCTAGCAGCTGCTGGGGTGGCCAGTGCCCTGCTCCGCCCCGCCAGCCTCAGTCCACAGCCCCAGGTCGCAGGATCCAGCTCTGCCCGCGCTCACCGTGCCGCGCAAGGACTCCAGGTCGCAGGTCAAGGCCTGCAGCTGGCGCCGGTAGTCGTTGGCCTCGTGTTTAGCCTGGCGGAGCAGCTCGGTGTTGCGGGCAGCAGCGTCTGTGAGGTCCGCAAACTAAACAGAGACAGAACCTTAGGCTCAGGGATGGGATCCCCCTCCTCCCCAAAGCGGGTACATATCCGGGGAGCTGCGTGCTCATTGACCGGCACGATCTGTGGGAAATCAGAGCACGACCCCGTGTCACCCCCCACAACATGGGCCCTGGCTGGGATTATTCCCAACTGTGAATGGACGGGGACGGGGGGGGGGGGGGGGGGGGGGGGCGGGGGGGGGCGGGGTGGGGGGGCGGGCATGGTAGCCACTGCTGGGCCTCCGCACCTAGTACAGCTCCTGGGCAGACAACCAATGAATGAACACTGCTATAGGATCCAGAACCTCTGCTGGTTGCTCCATCCATCCTTGGCCCTCAAATTTGGCCCCATCTGCTAGTTCTGGGCAGCAGAGCTCTGGGTTTTAACAGTCCTTTCTGCCCCAGCTTGCAGGGAAGCCCTCATCTCCATCAGGCCTTGACTCTGCTCAGATTGGCCCTGGCTTCTGTAGGTCCTGCCTTGCTTGGCACTCTGGCCCAGCATCTCTGGTCTCTGCCTCTCTGTGTTTTTCTGCTTCCAGGCCTTCACACAGGCTCTGTTCCCCACTTTGAGACACCCTTTCCTCTTCTATGTCCTTGGCTTGCCTGTCTGCCTAACTGACCACCCCTGTCCATCTTCCCTGTTTCTCACGCTGCACAGAAACTCTGCCCTGTGATGTTCTCCACAGCACCATATTTAGGTTCTTATCACATCTCCCTGTTCAGATGCCTCTCTGTATCCAGGAGTACCTGGCATACAGTAGGTGCTCAATAACCCAGGGCACAGACTAGCAGGAAAGCAAGGATACAGACTCCCAAGTGAGATGGGCTAGGGTTGGAAATCCCACCTTACCATTTTGGAGCTGTGTGACTTTGTACAAGTTAGTTAACTTCTCTGGACTTCAGTTGTCTTCTCTATCAAAGAATAGTACCTGCTTAATAGTAAGATAATCTAATCAAAGCACAGGACCTGGCACCCAACAATGCTGGCCAAAAATAACAGCAGTAACAGCAATAATAATAATGAGTACTTTTGAAAGGAAGAATGCCTGTGTGACCCTGGACAAGTCATCTCACTTCTCAGGGGAAGGTCAGTCACCCAGAGAAGATATTATCCCAGCTTCCTCCACCCTCCTTTTCCTGTTTTCTGGTATGGAGCAAGGAGGACTGCCTGGAGGAGGCAGGCTGGCCCACAGGCAGAGCTACCTTGGAACGGTACCACTCCTCTGCCTCCTGCATGTTGCTGGTTGCCACTGCCTCATACTGTGTGCGGATCTCTCTCAGGGCCGCTGTGAGGTCTGGCTTGGCCACATCCATCTCCACATGGATCTGCTGTCGGGCCAACTGCTCCTGGAGTTCCTGCACCTCCTGGCAGGGTGAAAGAAGGGGTGCCGGGGCTCAGGGTCAGGCTGCAGTTGGGGCTCCCCAAGCATCATGCCCTCTTCTGCTTATTCCTCAGCCATGGGCATTGGCTCCAGAAAAGGAAGCAGCCCTTGCTGGAGGAAGTGCTTAAGGGAAGTTTGGGGGCCTCATGGCATCCTCTTCCAGAGCTAAATAGGCAGGAACCAAGTGCTGCACCGTTCCTCCCTTCTCACAGGTACCTGGGTCACGTGGAGTCGTGGAGTTGTGGATTGTGAATCCTGGGCCTGAGGTCAGAAATCAGTGCTTTTCTTTTTTTTTCTTTTGCAGTACTGGGGTTTGACCTCAGGGCCTACAACTTGAGCCATTCCATCAGTCCTTTTTTGTGATGGGTTTTTTCCAGATAAGGTCTCAGGAACGATTTGCCTGGGCACAATCCTCCTGATCCCTGCCTCCTGAGTAGGTAGTATGACAAGCATGAACCACCGGTGCCGGTGCTTTTTTTTTTTTTGTAATGAATGACTCTCATTTTAATGGAGACAGATGGCAGAGGGAATGGAGTAGAGAGACTCACTGTGTGACCTCAGGATGTTCTTTAACCTCTCTGGGCCTCCATGTTCTCCTCTACGAAATGAGATAGTAGGAAGGGCTCTGTCTCACAGGGCCGTGAAGGGAAAAAATGAGGCCGCAAGGATTTGTACTTCTCAGTATTTCTGGGCGATGGTGTCTGCGTATTTTCTCAGGAGTTGGGATGCTCTTTGCTGCTCTCTGTCTTCCTGAGTCTCTCTCTTTCTTCACTCTTTCTCTCATTTTCTTTCTGCCCGCCAATGTGTTTCTCTACTTCTCTCTCTGAGTACCTCTCTCTGTCTCTCTGGCTATCTGTCTCTCTGGCTATCTGTCTCAGTTGCAGTTTGTGTGTTGGACTTCCCTCTTTCAGCCCTGGTCTCACCTCCTCATGGATCTTCCTCAAGAATCGGATCTCCTCCTCCAGGGACTCAATCTTCCTCTCCAGATCCAGACGGGCCAGGGTGGCTTCATCTGCCTCCTGAAGTGGGGGGAGGGAGGGGACATTGGGCCACTCCAATCCCAGACTCCTCCTCTCCATTCTCCAGCCTTGCCTTACCCCTCCTTCTGGGGCATTGGGAAGCAGCACATTGCTCTGAAGGGCTAGGCTTAGAGTCTGTGTTTGTGTAGGCTGCCATCAACCCTTTCTACCCTCCCCCCTCCCTTCCACCTTCCTTCCCCCTCTCTGACCTGTCTATAGGCGGCCAGGTTGTTCTCAGCGTCCAGCCTCAAGTTGGTTTCATCCTGGAGCCTGGGGTGGGGGAACGCATTCTTGGATCCAGGTTTTCCTGAGGATTCTTGGATCCCTGCCCCAATAAACCCTGTCACAGAGACCCTCCCACCACTACCCCCAAGAACTGGTAGAGTAGCAGGAGGAGTGAGGTTCAAAGGGATCCCAGACAGGGGCCTTGGCTGGAGGGTGAGCAGATAGGACCTTTTGCCTCAACTCATTACTAAGGCGTTTTATCAGGGTTGGTGCACCTGCTCCTGCTCACAGAGACGCATCCACCACCCGACTCGCTGGTGCATGTGCAAACACACACACATACACACACACTCCTGCACTGCAGGGGACACACACATACATGCCCGCTGCTCAGCTCAGCCAAGCACCATGTCCCTGGGGTTTCCTCTGACCCCAGGTAACTACCTTTTGAGACAGATTTTATTATATCACTGTTTCACAACTGTGCAAGTCACAGTGACTTCTGTAACAGAAGCTGGTGACAAGCAGTAGTGACTGTGTTCTACACCCAGTCCTGCCTGCTCTTTCCTCTGCTTCCTTGACCTCTGAGCCTAAGTCTCTTGTAGACACCAATCTTTCTCTTGTCACCTTTCTTTTGTATAAATCCAGGCTTATAATAGGTGACTCCCTCAATACAGTCACACTCCCAGTGAATGAATGTGAAGCCCCCTGCCCACTGGGACCCCTGACTGCCCAACAGCCTTCTCCAGTGGGGAGGGCCGAAAGCGCACAGCTCCCTGACAGAAGGTCTTTGGGAATCATCTCTGAGGTCCTGAGCCTCTTCCTGGCTTTTCCCATCATTTGAGGGAAAAAGGGTAGCTCCCCCTTCCCAGAGGTGGGGGAAAACCCAGGTGCTGAGAGGCTGAGTCCCTGCCCAAGGCTGCAGCCCTGTGGGTACAACCTCTCAAGGGTTCAGATTCTTTGTTAAAAAGTCCCTTTCCCTTTCCCCTCCTCACTTCTGCCTCAGGGTGCCCAGGTCCTGTGCCAGATTGTCCCTCTCCACCTCTAGCCGGGCGCTGTTGGCAGTGAGTTGATCGAGCCGCAGCCGCAGCTCCCGCAGCTCAGCCTGGTAGACGTCAGCCAGCTTGGTGGGCTCCTTGGCCCGCAGCTGGTTCAGCTCAGCAGCCAGCGCCTTGTTTTGCTGTTCCAGGAAGCGAACCTTCTCGATGTAGCTAGCAAAGCGGTCGTTGAGCTCCATCATCTCGGCCCGCTCACTGGCCCGGGTCTCCTTGAAGCCAGCATTGAGTGCTCCGGCCAGGGAGAAGTCCACCCGCACTGGAAGTGAAGGGGGCATGCGACTCAAGGAGAGGCGGGGGCCGGGACTCAGGCGGTGGCCGGGACCCAGGCCCCTGACCACCATCTCGGAGGAGGTGTAGGAGCGGCGAGCAGAAGCAGTGCGTCTGCGCTCCATCCTGCCCTGCCGCTGCTGGCTCCTGGGATGTGAGGGCTTTATGGAGGAGTGGGCTGGAATGGTGCTGCCCTGGCTGCCTGGCAACGCCCCTGGCATAGCCTTGAGGGGGTGTGGTTGGACCAAAGCCCAGCTGTGGGCAGAGCTCCTCTCACCCCACCAAGGTCACTGTGCCCAGAAGCAGGGCTTCCTGGGCACACCAGCCCAGACTGAGCCGGGAGTTGCTTGGAGCCCTGACCACTGAGCAGAGAGACCCTCTCTCTAGAAAGTGGGTCAAGAAAGGGCTGGGCTGGATGACCTCTGACCCCCCTCCAGATCTTAGATCCCCTAAGCCAGGCTTTCTCTCACTCTGTACTCCTCCATGGGCCTGCTAGATGTAGGCAATTTGGTGAAGAAACAACCTGTACTCTGTCTCAAGAAACAGCCTAGGTTACCATTTCCAACATACCTGGAACCCTCGTCTCTGATCACGGATGGCCACACTGCTGTCTTCTCCCCATCTCTACAGTTCTGAACCTGGAGGCTGGGATTGGACCCTACCACTTTACAGGGTCAACCAAGGCCTCTGGCTATGGGAGGATGACAGGAGTGTCTGGAAGTCCTGATAGGGCAAGAGGGCAGAACTTCTCCTGAACTGCTGTTTGGCTCCTCATCGAACCTGCCGAGCTGCCCCCCACCCCTTGCCTGGCCTCTCTGCACCCCTCCCTGGATCTGACAGCTTCACAGAGCAGTTATGAATGAGTTGGCTGTACTGGCTGGAATCTTTGTTCCTGTAACACCCTGTCTCCTGGCCACCCCTCACTCCCTAGAGATTTATTTCCTTCCAGTTCCCACACATCAGGCTTCTAGGGATAGGTGGGTCTGGGACCTCAAGAGCCACTGGGCTTAATTGGAAATGGGGGTATGTGGGGTGCTTCTATGGTTCCTAAAGATTTCAGGCCTGTTCATCCCCTCTACTCTGGCCCCATTTAGGCACCTCAGTCATCTGTGCCCTTGGGCTTCTGGGAAGCAGACAGTCATGCTCCCTCTGCCCTCCACCTCCTCTACTTCCCAGTGCCCATGCTTGGGCTTCTGATCTCTACTCCCTGGCATTTGCTGAATAGAGCCTTGTTCTCCACTGTCAGGGAGGGCGCCATACAGCAAGGGCAACCCCCAGGGGGCTGTGCTGCTTTTATCCCAAGATGCCAGAATGTCAGGCCAGGGTGCAGCGCAAGCTCCTTGCTCAATGGGCTTCTCGGAAGGCATCTGAGGGGGGCTGGGGTGCACTTCGAAGCAGGCTGTGTGCCCACCCCTGACCACTGTGTTTGTGCCAAGGTGAGTCATTCAGTGAGCACAAGGAGGGCACCCTGGGGGGGCAGCCAACTCTGTTCTGCCAGGTCTCTAGTTTACAGACATGACCTGGCTGCTTGCCCCCTCCCCACCTCTTAAGCCAGCTTAGCCAAGCTCTTGTAAGAGTACCATCCCCAACTCCACACCAGGGACACTAGGGACATGGTCTTCATCTGGGCATGTGATGAGGTTTCCCCTGAGAGCCCAGCACAGACAGCAGGGTGAGAGCTCCTTAGGCTCCAGCCACATCTGCTCTGGGCCCAAGCAGTGACATGGTGAGGGCATCATGAGGAGGGGCTCCCAGTGAGTTTTGATCCTCCTGTGGATTGGGAAGCTGGGGAAGGCTAGAACAAGACTGGGACAAGCGTTTGTCTCAAGTCACATCTCTGTGGCCCTCCAAGTTTCCCAGCAAAAAAACAGTGTGTGGTCTTGCCTTTTGTTCAAGTAAATGGAGGTAAAATATGGGCAAAGTGGTCCTGAAGGAAAAGCTGTAGCAAGCAGGGAGGGGTTTGTCAACAAAGGTCAGTGAATTGCTCCCATGTACTCAAGACCCTAGTTTGTTCTGGCACTAGTATGTAGAGTCCTCCAGCCTCCACCGGCTGTGCCTTCTTCCTGGGTCCTTAACCCAGGCCCAAGCTCCATCCTCACTTCCCACCTCAGATTATTCCCTCACTCAAACTATGGCAAGGGGTCTACACAGAGAGCCAAAAGACAGACACACTAAGTCATGGTTGATTTCCAAACTTCCATTATCAGTACATATATATATATATATATATATATATATATATATATATAAGTTTTAGCAAGGATTTTAGTATAACAGGATAAAGTGTAGGTAAAGGGGGGAGAGGAGGAAAAGAGAGAAACATTTCCTGCCCTCATGCAGGAAATGCGAGCAAAGACACCTATATATATATATTTTGTGTGGTACTGGGGTTTGAACTCAGGATCTACACCTTGAGCCACTTTTTTGTGAAGGGTCTCAAGAACTATTTTCCCGGGCTGACTTTAAAACTGCAATCCTCCTGATATCTGCCTCCTGAGTGTCCTGAGTGGCTAGGATTACAGGTGTGAGCCACCAGCTCCCAGCAGTACTTTTTTTTTTTTATTACACACTCATGATAGAAAAATACAATTCACTGCAGAAAACACAGATAATATGAATAATTTAATTATCCATAATTTTGCCACATGGAGATAAACACTACCATATTTTTTTCACAGATATAAACTAATTTTTTTCAAAATAAGCTCATGCTGTACAAATTATTTTTCAATTTGCTTTTTTACTCAACAATATGTTGTGAGCATCTTTCCATATCAACAAATATCTACATCATCATTTTAACAGCTGCATGGTTTTCCACTATGTGCATTCATTTACCAAAGCCCTATTGTTGAACAGTCTCTCTCTCTCTCTCTCTCTCTCTCTCTCTCTCTCTCTCTCTCTGCTTTTTCCTCACTCCTCCTCCTAAACCACACTTAAGAACATCTGCCCCAGGCAAACACAGCCAACAGAGCAAGGCAGGCTCTTAGCCCTCCTAGCCCCCACCACGTTCCGTCCTCCCTGCTTGGCTCAGGCCCTATTCTCTGTGGTGCCCTCTCTCCTGCTTCCCCAACTGGAAATCCCCAACATCCTAAACCTTAGGCCATAGTCTAGGCTGATTTCCACAGCAGGGGCTAATGGCCATTAGATAGATAGATGCCTGGACACCTCTCCTCAGAGTCTGCTGCATTCTGCTTCATGCAAAGGTGGCAACAAGATAACCTCCTGTGCCCCTACCCCACCCCCATATCAGAATCTGTCAAGTGACCCTCTGCTCACAGGGAAAAGTCCGAATGCCTCCTGGAACAGACCAACCCACCTCTGGCCTCAACACACAAACAAGATGCCTGGTGTTTTCCAAAGATGCCAGCCTCTCATTCAAGTAGCCACGTTGCCACTTGACTATCACCCACCAGCTCTGCTTGTACTCCTACTACTCACCTGGTGTCTGGCATAGCATGGTGGAAAAAAGCTAGGTGGAATAAAGGGGGCTTGAGTCTCTCTGGCTGGTACTTCCTATGATGCTTCTGGAAGAAGGGAACTGAGCCCCACGGCCACTAGGTGGCAGTGCTCAGCTGCCCAGGTCTGGCCACTGCAACTTGCAGAAAGGTAGAAAGTCAATCTCCTAGCAGTTGATGGGTTTTCTGAAGCCCAGGTTTGTATCCCCCAGATGGGTCAACCCCCTTTATTCTCTACACTCGCTTCTAACTGCTATGGTAGTGGCCTCTAGGGGAAAGATAAAAGCCGTGGCCTCTCAGCAGCTGCAAAGTCTTGGATGACTTCAAGAAACTTCTCTGAGGGGGCATTAGTGTCTCATTCCTGTAATCCTGACTATTCAGAAGGCAGAGATCAGGAGGGTCACAGTTTGAAATCAGCCCAGGCAAGTACTTCACAAGACTCTATCTCAAAAAAACCCTTCACAAAAAAGGGTTGATGGAGCGGCTTGAGGTGTAGGTCTTGAGTTAAAGTCCCAGTACCATGAAAAAAAAAAAAAAGAACATTCTCTGAGTCTCCTTTTCTACATCCATAAAGTGGGAACATACAGCAGTTGTTTCCAAGATAATTATGAGGATGACAGGAATGAAAACTGGACACAGCCGGCGCCTTTAACAAATCACAGCTTCCACATTTACATGTGCTTTACCTACCTATATGTTAATGCATTTGTGATGTATTGGCCAGAAGGCGCAAGAGCTGAGTGGGAGCTGCCATGCCCTGTTGGCTCCCAAAGGAAGTTACCTGGCGACGTGGTGGATAGGACAGAGTAGGCAGCAGCCAGCAGGAGGGGGGAGTCAGCATCATTTCCCCCTTGACCACTAGTTGGTGGTGGTTTTGGGTCCAGCAGGGAACACATACAAGTTCTTTCTGATTGCTCTGGAGAGTGGGAGCAGAGGCTGTCTCCCTGGCCTCCTTGGTGGTCTGCTGCCTTTCCCCATCCCTAGACTTCATACCCATCTAGTTCCAGAAGCTCTTGGTGTGCTAACACTTCTCATGGTTGTGGGTCTCGTCTGCACCTGAACCTGAGCCCTGCTGAGGAGAGGACTCAGGTCCTCCCTCAGACTGCTCCCTCAGACTAAGGCCCCATGAGACAGGGCCATCCTTTCACCTTTGTGGGAGCTCCCTGCTGCTAGACTCCACAGCTGACTCTTGGGTGGGAGCTCCTGGAGACAGGGAGCTCGCCCCCATTTCAGTATGGGATGGGTGCTGCCTCAGAGAAAGAGCCATTCATTTTCTTACCTGCAGCCTATACCTAGCCAGGCTCCGGTGGTTAGAAACCAGCTTTGTGGTCACAGAAAAGTCCCTGGCAGGACTCCAGACTCCTTCCTCCTCCTGGCCCCTCCCCACCTGTAGTTGGGGCATCAGATCATTTGCCTTCCCAGACCCCAAGGCTGCATTGGGGTTAATAAACTCAAGCTTTCTCCCTCACCTCTCCCCACCCCAGCCAAGGCCTGCTCCAGCCTGCTTCCCATCTTCCATCCTCTAACCCTGAAAAGTTTTTTAACTGCTTTTGTCATCTGCTCTGCTCCCCACTCCCTGCATCTCCCTGCCTGATTGGGTCCCTCTGGAGGGCGAGAAGCAGGGACCAGATGTGGCCTTGGTGGAAGAAAAGGACTAGTGGGTGGCCCATTATTTCCACCCTAGCATTTCTCCAACTGAACAGGATAGGTCAGGGAATAGGGCTAGAGGGCTGCTTCAAGTTGAAGGGAGCCTTTAGAGTGAGCTGGAAAACAACTATGGTCCCTTCCTCCCCCCACAACCTTCATCTCAAGCCATCCTGGGTTCCTCTTCACAAAACCTTGACCTAGATTGTGGCTGAGAACTAGGATCCCCCAAACACAGCCCAAAGCTAGAGGGTCATTCCTGGGGGGAGTCAGGGGACAGATAAACAGGGCTTTGTGGCAGGACTCTTGAGTTAATAGCTTCCAAGATGGCTCCCCAGGTCATGATGAAGTCCCCCTGTGGAGATGAGTTGAAGGCTCAGTTGTAAGAAAAACAGTCCCCTCCCTCCCCTTGACAGGTGCCATCCTCACTCCCAGCATGAAGGGACCATGACATATTCTGTGTTTTCAGCTTTTGGCACCAAGTCTGGTTCTATTGTACCGGACAGAAATTTGTACCCCATAGCAAGTCCAGGCATGAGCTGTGAGTCAGAGTTGGTTATAAGGGATCTGGGGAGAGAGGACTCCTACTCATGGAAGTGGAGTTGTCTGGCCAAGCTGGGCCCACAGTAGATGGAGAGAGGGCATCAGTTGCCATGTGTCATGGATGATTCTTTTTATGTAAGAAAAATCCAATCTCAGAGCCTCATCGCCCACGGAGGTCAGCTGGGAGCTGGCTGTCAGCTCACTGCCACTCAGCCCCTGCATGTTTCCTGCAAAGCTCAGCCCAACCAGGCCACCTCCAGCCTGCAGGACAACATACAGCAAGCTCTCTTGGATCGACTTCCTGTAACTGGAGGCAGAAGCCACACGTGCTTAATTCCATCAGCACAGTCTTTGTACATTTAATGGGTCACCTGAGAGCACATTTTGCACCATGGAGCCAGGGATGTTTGCTGAGCGAATAGCTGGCTGCTGAATATCCTTGTCAAAAGTGACCTTTTTCACTCTCAGGCTGGCCCTAGCCTGGGAAAACTGCCTCATGCAAGGACCCTATTGTGCAGAGGTTGCCCTCCTGGCTTTAGTTACCAGCTCCCGTGCCTGGTATCAGAGGCCTCTGCACTTGCAGAGGGGTAATGTTGAGAGTCAGATGAAATAATGTATGTGAAGTCCCCAGGAAATGGGTAAGTTATTCAATTCAAATCCAGTCAACACTCAGCAAGGCCTCTTGAAGTCAAGGCACCATGCCAGGCTGCCAGGGGCTACAGATGTGACTTCGGAGAGAACCATGGTACATAAGGGAACAAGCTCATTAAGACTAATTGGAGAGGCGGGAACTCCAGGCACATGGAAAGAAAAAAAAATGTCTGTTCACTTTCAAAAGGAAGCAGCCGTGTCACAAAAAGCCAGATCCTGGGTTGGATCCCGAACACTTGCGGTCTACTGGACAAGTTGGGCCAACCTTTTGAGTCTGTTTCCTCATTACCCACCTCATAAGGCTGAGAAACAGACAAAACCCAGGAGTGGCAGGAGTGGGACGCTCATCCTCCCGTTCTCTTCCACACTCCTCCAAAAAGGGATCAACACTGAGTGGGAGGGGCCCATCAGGCAGGGTGCACAGGGAGGACTCCTTTGAACTTAGCAGCATGATTTATACACCACTCCAATGTGTTAAATATCCTTATCATGTTTGTTTTCAAACCCAAGTTAAACACAGACTCCTGTAATTCTGTTGACACTATTAATTCATTCAGCCAACCATGTCTTCATGGAGAGAACAGAGATATAACCATGTTGAACTGTCACATAATACAAGGGAGCAGGCGGAGGGGTGGAAGGCAGGAGCAGTTTCCACAGGGTTCCAGCTGGGCCTTGGCTTGGAGCCTCACCTCAGACCTGGGGACCATCCAAAAGCAGCACTACCCAGCAACTCGGGTAGCATGAAACCAACCTCCAGGTACGACTACTTCTTGACCCACCAGGAAGCAAAGTCTTCCAAAGGATGAGGCTCAGTCCTAGACCAGACTTAAGGCTGCAGGAGACAGGGTGGATGTGGTTCTCTATACTGTTTTGTCTTTCTTTCTCCTTTCCTTTTCTTTTTTTTGAATCCAGGGCCTTCGCATGCTAGACAATCTGTCTATTACTGCCTTATACCCCCCAGCCCTAGAAATTTCTTGAAGTTTTAAAGAGTAGGAAGGTGAGAAAGAAATGTTATACTACGTAGGTGTACAGAGAAAAACACACCAAGGATGGAGATAGTTTATTAATCATTGTAGTAAAAAAAATACATTATATCTACATGTTATATATACCCGTGTCTACATATGCAGAAATCAAGTATCGGAAGGACGTATCAATCCTAGTATAACCAGCATTTATACCTGTGTGGTAGCATTAAGGCTGCATTCCTTTCTTCTTACACATCCTTGTAGGCTGAATGTGTGCAATGGGTAAAGCTGGCTTCCTTTGCAAATCAAGGCACCATCATCAACTGTATCACCAGGGCAGGAGCCAAGGTGGGGTTCCTACCCCAGGCTGGGGGAATGAGTGGGGCTGAAGATGCTCCTTTCAGAAACCAGCCAAGAGCCAAACTGGGACTCTCAGCAATTCCCCTTCCCATTCTCATCCTCCACTGAACAGAGGCCATCACTGTGCAGAGCCCTGTGTTAGACACCAGGGGTGGAATACAGAACCCAAGAGCTCCTAGCCTTGCCAAGAGGGTTAACACTCAGGAACTAGTATATACGTACTGAAAAGCTGAGTATAACAGATTAATAAAGAAGAATGAATGGCTGGGGAGGGGTGTTAATACAAGAAAGGTGTGTTGGCATTAATTGCTCTAAGGAGAGAAAGGCAGGTCAGGGCTGCTGGTTTCAGCAGCTCCAGGAACCAAAGGGAGATGTGCAGCCTAGAGTGGCTGGCTGGCAGATCAAGACACTGGTGGTCAAGACACCTTGGCAACGCAGCTTTCAGCTGACAGCACTCCCCCAGCACCGATCAGTTCCTTCCGTATCCTTTGGTCAACAAGGCAGTGGGGACTCAAGGGTGGTTCTGCAGGCCAGGTGGATGGAGTGAGGTACAGGAGGAAGGAGAAAGTGAGGCTCCGTCCCACAGCCCCACTGCCTCTCATTCCATTCTCACTTTCCTCATCAGGGTCTCTGCCCACCCTGTCCTCTCCTACATCCAGCTTCATCTGCCACTGTGGCATGGCCACCCCACTCCCCAATACTAGTCACCTGGGATTGCAAGGGGCCCAGCTGGCCTCTTCAAGGTGCTGCTGGGGAGGCGGGCAATGCGGCTGTGGCCCCGGGAGACTGAGGACCTGAGGGAGGGAGGTAAAGACGGTGGGAAGGTTACAGCCATGCTCCGGACTGTGGGTATGCATGGAGCGGGGAGGTATTGCTAGAAGCTAAGCTTTAAGGGAGCAAAGACTGAGCACTAGCAAGAGTTTCCAAGGCCATATGTGAGGACAGGAGAAGCTGGCGGGGAGAAGAGCCTTCTGGAGTTTAGGACATGGGAGGAAGTAGAGGTAAGGCGGGGGATAGTTCACTGGATTAACTAATGAATGCTGAATGTCTCCCTGATGAATAGGGGACTGTAACTCTTCACCTCTAGGATGATCCTGTGATAGTGAGCAAAAGCCAAAGAAATTGCAGTCAGAAAACCATCTGATGGCCCTGCTCACAAGACCTCGGCTGCTTGCTCCAAGGGGTCCAGAGACACACTGGGTGGAGGCCTGTGCTCAACCAGTGCCCACTGCTCTGGTGAGAATTTTCTCCCCAGCCCCCCACGTCGCCCAGACCTTACCTCACAGTGCGCCTCTTCTTGCAGGTAGAGATCCCAGGGAGGGAAGATGGAGGCTTGGGGCCCTTCATGGTGAAGGGGTACACAGGTTCACTGGGGAGGGGAGAGGAGGAGATAGATCAGGAAGGAAAAAGAAATGACACTGGACACTCTTCCTTCCTTCAGCTCCCAGTCTGGGGGTAAGGAGGATGGACAAGATGACCTGAGGTTTCCTTCTGCTCAGAGGTGGACTCTCTCCCTGCCTCCCCTGGTCTGGGCTGACAGCTGAGTGACAGCCCTGTTCAGGGAGAACATCCAGATGTCAGTTTCTGGTATGTCCAGGGAACTGGAGTTCAAGCAGTTTCACCCTTCCACCTGCCTGGCTCTGAGCTCATTACTGAGAGCCGGTTAAGGGGCCATGGAAGGTATGGGGCTGTGGGTTGGCAGCCTGCTGGCCTCTGCCTTACAAGCCCAGGTCAGTCTGCCACCTGTTTTTGACCTTGGACTGTTCTGAACTAGTTGTTGTTCCCCTGCCTAGCCATTCAAGTGGAGAGTAAGGTTAACAGTTCCATCTTCTCAGCAGAAGATAGTGAAAGTTTTCTCAGGACCCTCTTCCCCATTCCAGGTACTGTGCTGCAGGAAAAGTCTGAGGGGACAAGAGGCAGGTATAGGTATTTGCCTGTGGGGCACAGAACTCAGAGTGGGTCACAAAAAGAAGAGGTAGGAATGGACTCATTAATTCCTGGCTCACTGGTGACTCTTCCCAAGTTGGAGTTCCATAAGCTACTCGTGAGCATGTTGCAATCCCGCAGAGCTGGCCAATCTAAGGCACGGACGGACAGGGAGGAACCCTGAGAGAAGTGGTGCCTCCATGGCAACTGTGCACTCTGTTCTGGGCTTGGACAGCAAAGCTGACCATGACCAAAGGGAAACAGATGGCAAAGGTTCCGGCTCCAAGAGTCAGGCTGACTTCCACTCTTCTTGGTAGCACCCTTGTCCCTTGCTGACCCCCAACTCTCTGCTGAGAGGGGCAGGTTGGGAGACCTACCTGGGAATGAAGGGCTGGTCCAGTCTGTTCAGCTCCTGAGGGGCTTTCTCCCAACCAATGAATTCGTGGAAACCGAATTTTGAGGAGGGCTCCTCAGAAAGATCAAAGGTGGCATTAAGGTCCCGAGCAGGTAGGGAGAGAGGGGTGGAGCAGTTCTGCACAGCAGAAGGGCCCAGGGGCACCCGGCTTTTGATCACTGTAGCTGGACAGAAGCGAGGGGTTTGGCAGGGGGAAGAGGTCCTTCTCTCTTTGGGGGTGCTGGGCTCTAGCAAAGGCGGGGCCTTTGGCAGAGACCCCCTCCTTAGGCAAGGCAGGAAGGACTGGCGCTGACGCTTGGTCTCCCGCTTTGTGGCAGGAGGACTGTCTGGCTTCGCAGGGCTCAGTTTCCTCCTCCTCTTCTTCTTTTCCATGGACCGCCGGGATGCCTTGGCTGGGGTGCAGTCAGGCCCTGCTGGAATCCCCAGAGTATGCATGAGGCCACTCAGTTGCCTTGCCATGGTCCGGGTCACAGGGCCACGGTACTCTGGAGGCTCTGGACAGAGAGAAGGAGGGTACTGAGGGGAGATCAGGGACTGGCCTGAAGGAGCAGACACTGGAGACACAAAGGGGCCCCTGAACTCAGATCTATTGGTACTGGGCCTCTCTGTGTGCCAAAGTCCACAATCCCAGAGGTCCAGTCTCCTACAACAGCATAACCCAACAATGTGAAGCCCCAGCCCACCTTTTGGTCCCAACTGGGCCTTGGTGATGCCATCAATAGACAGGGCAGAGCAGAGGTAACACTCACTCAACTCCGAACACAGGTGCTGAGCCTGAGGGGCCTCCCTAATCAGGCTAGGAGTCCTGGAGGTCTCAGCCCCAGGCTCAGTTTTCTCCTCTTGCACCAGCTGTTGCAGGTTCTCAAACTCTGTGATCAAGTCAGGGGTCAGGAGGTTGGCTGCATGGAGCAGGGAGTACTGCTGCTGGGCCAGGCATAGCACACGTAGGACCAACCTGGAACAGAGGGAAGGGGATCCCCGCCCTACTTAGATCCAGCATCACTGGGATCCCCTATGCCCATCACTGCAGGTGTGGTTGAAGAGCATACCTAGGCTGGGTTCCCTCCCTCCTGCCTCGCCTCAGACTAGTTTGTTGGCCTCACCACCCTTCCAGCCATGGCTCCAGCTATTATTATGCCCCAGGACAAAGACAGGACCAGCTAAGTGACCTTGGACTTGGGAGGTATGAGTTTCCTTTTAGCTCTACCACTTATTAGTATTGTGATCATAAGTTCATTTACCCTCAGAGCAATGTAAGATAGTTAAGATGCCACTCAATTCACACTGCTAGCTCCCTCCCTGCTCAAATACCAGTGCAACATGTTCCAGCTGTGTGTTCTTGGATGCATTAGTTAACCTCAGTCTCTACAACCTTAAAATGGGAATAACAGTGCACCCACCTCAGAGGGCTATTGGAAAGATTAAATGAGTTATTTTATAAGCAGAATGTTTAAAGAATATCTGGCACACAGTAAACACTGTAAATCAAGAGGCCTATTATTTTCTATAAAGTAGTAATGATACCACCTACCTCATCAGGATAAAGAAAATTAAATAAGATGGGCTATGTTGACCTTGGCTCTGAGAAGACCCTCAAAAAATACATTTAGTCTGTGCATTCTATTTAATGGTTGGGAACCTGAAAAAGTATGTATAAATCAACGCATATTTCACATGCACTGGGGGACTATTTAAAGGAAATTCTTAAGGTAATGTGATTATTGATGTTGTAAATTTAGATTCACATAAAGTCAATTTTCTTTCTGTGAGGCATACCTACAATAAAGAATAAACAGTTACCTCGGTGGGGATTATTCATGGCAAATGATTTACCCTCAGGTAACTACCTGTCTGGAGATCTCTGAACCCCCTCACTGCCCTCAGTCAGTGTTTGCTCAGAGGGCCAAAACTCATTTGGTAAAGCACCTCCAGGGCTTTGTGAGAGGAGGCAGGACATAAATTAAAAAGGACACAGTGGAAACTCATTCTGTATCTTCTTGAGCCACACATTATAAAGAAGACTGGAATAGGCCCGGTGGAGTGGTTCAAGTGGTAAGGGCACCTGCCCAGCAAGCGTGAGGCCCTGAATTCAAATGCTAGTACCACCCAAAAAAAAAAAAAAAAAAAAAAAGAGAGAGAAGACCAGACTATTGAGTGGGTGTACAGGGGATAAGCAAGGGTCTGTTTGTCATATAACTCAGGTGTGGTCCTGTCCCTTTTACTGTGTGACTCTGGGCAAAGTCTCAAGTTAACAAATGGGGAGTTGATCTCAATCAGGAGTTTTCAAAGTAGGTTTCAAACACTCATCAGATAGAGCAACTCTGTTTTGTCTGTGTTATGTATTAGACCTCAGCATGAGACTCCATGTGAAGAGAGAATTTTGTAACTAAAAAAAATCTTGAAAAACCACTGAACTGGAAAATCTCAGATCTCTTCAATGCCATGGTGGTCCAAGATTCTAAATTCTAAAGTCAAAGAGAAATTACTTTCGATTATCTGATAGCCAGGTTTTTTCCAAATTTGGAGATGATCTAGAATGTTTTGCACCCCCTCATAATTTGGGTCATCTGACTATCATAGCACTTCATCTCCAAGAAGTAGGATTATGATCTCCAAATCATAACCAAGGTTGAAGCAATGTGTAGGGAAAGAGACCACAAAACACAGGTAGAGCAGAAATGAGAACCCTGATGTCCTCATCAAGGGGGACACCAAGCAGAGAGCCCCACCAAGCATAGGAGCCCACGGTTGTTCCTTGGAAGGCCAATGGGACATCCCACCTGGGCATCCCTGCCTCTCTAGGCCCTGGGGAGTTGGCAGATAATGAGCCTCTGATTATTCAGGCCACAGCATTTTTGCTGAGTTGGGAACAGACACTCCCCAACAAGAAATAAAATTAAACAGGCCCTTCTGTCCGGAAGCTTTAAATACACTGCCTAGTGTGAAGCGTGCAGGGGAGGGCAGAGTGGGGCTAGCAGTAGCAAGCTAAGTGGCAGGGGATTTATGTACTGGGGGCCAAGGGAAAACAAAAAATACAGCAGCATCCTTTATGAAGCCCAGGAATAGTCCCAAATCTCTTCCTCTTTGGCTTTGGGTAGAGGTTTGTGTTTATTTTTGAGGAAAGCCAGCCACAGTCAATCTGTCCATGAGGATGCAAGAGAAACACCTTTCTCAAGAAGGCTGGCCCTTCCTCTGCCTGATGCCCAGCTTCTCCCAGCTGCTCCCTCCTGGCTGCTGACTGGAAAGCCAAGTGCTAGCCCCAACAGCCTGCTTTAACTCGGTGCTTGCTGGTGTCTGGATGGAATTTGGTGTTTTGCTTCCCTTGCCTGTTGGCTGCCAACTTTGTGGAGGAATAAATAAGAGAATGCTAGGTAAATAGAGTAGGAGTTGAAAGCAGCTAAAAGAGAATGTTAATGAAAATGGGCTTGACAGTTAGTTAAGAATCAGAGCTGCCAACCCAGAAGTGCCCCATTGTGTCCCACCATGGACCCGAGAGTAGAGACAAGAAGATACTTACTGCTTGGAACAGTCCCTGCCTGGTTTCTGTGGTGAAACGTGGTCCACCACTGACTCAGGCTGTAGGGTCAGATCAGGGGACCCTGGCAGTGGTGGTTTGAGGTTAGGCTCAGGCATCTGGGTTGAAACCTAAAGAGGAAGGAGGAGGGAATAGGTAAAGCAGCCAGATGATCTTCTAAAGTCCTTCCCTACCCCAGGAGTAGGAATGACAGCTTCTAGAATGACCAGGTCCTGGGACTTGCTTAGTCCCAGCCACTTTCAAACACACAGGTTCTGATAGATGTAAGATACCCAGGTGGAGAACAAGCTAGTGGAACAATATTCCACTAGCCCCAAGCCTCCCCCCAGGGCCCAGGCTTCACAACCCCAAAACTTACTTCCTTGGTATGGCTTTCTTCCTTGTCCTGTGGGGGCTGCTGCTGGCCTGAAGAGTTTCCTTCCACATCCCTCTGTTCCTGGGCCTCTGTCCCCAGGCTCCCTTGTTGAAGGGCTCTAGTCCCTTCATGGAGCTCTGGGCTGCAGGACTGGCTGGAGGCCTGGGACAGTAAGGGGGGGCTGGGAAGGGGCAGGAGGGGTGAGCAGGGAGGGGCAAGATCTTTGCAGCATCTAGGTAGAGTTCACTGCAATGCTTGTATGACAAATGGGGAGCAGCTGAGGGTGGGAGTAAGCAATTGGGACTTTTTGGTTTGAGAAACAATGACCCACCCAACTCCTCCTGATGAGTATGTAGTATGGGTTGCTTATATGGGCTGGGGTGCCTCTTCCCCATCTGAGACAGGGCATTCTAGGTGGCATCAGTTGCTGGGTCCTGGGTGAGAACCAACCTAACCTGGGTGTTGGAACACAGACAAGGAGTCCTAACCTCCAGGAGCTAGACAAGAGGGAATGGCTCCCCATCCTAGCCAAGCAAAGGGTGGGGCAGGTTTGGGCAGCAGAACTCACTGTTGTGGCAGGCCCAATTTGGGGGACCGTGGGAGGTTCTGCTGTGGGGCCTGGGCTCCCTCCTCATATACTTGGAGCTTCTTCCTCAGGGCAGCCACCTGGAATGGCAGCAAACCAGCCTTAGAGCCCCAGGTGAGCACAGGACACCAGGGTCAGACACAGAGCCCTGGCTACACTCCAGGCTGCTCCCCAGGTGGGCTCCTCACCTCAGCCTGGAGCTGCTGGCAGATGGTAGCATACTGGCTGATGTGACAGTCCAGGCTGATCACGTTGCTTTTCAGCTGAGATGGGACATGGGAGAGATTTGTTCATTCAAAGCAGCTTTTACCAACCACCTCCCATGCGCCCAGGTCTGCGCAGGGATCCTCGCTCACATTACCATGATTCACTCTCACAAGTGAGGAAATGGACCAGAGTGGTTAATAACAAGCCTGGAACTACAGCAAGGGGCAGAGGATTGCCTGTGGCCCTAAGACATGCTGGCCAGCAAAGTGAGCCAGAGCTCCCTGAGGGGTAGGGAGGGAAGGCCCAGCAGTTATGGCAGAAACCAGAGTATCTCTGCTTTTGTTTGGGCCACTGTATATGGGCGTTTTCACCATTTTACTGAAAATATGGTAGGTACTACCACCTAAAATAGTCTGGACACCCTGCCTCTGTCTAGCTGGAGTGTTCCCAAGGATAGGGACAGTGTTAGTCCTAATACAAACACTCTCCCTGAAGACAGAGCCCAGGAAACTTCTTTTCTCTGCCTGAGGACAGTGGTCAGGAATCTGAGGAAGCTGTCTGGGTCTTGTCCCTGCCTCCTCCCAGGCTGGGGCTCCCCTCACATGCAGGCCACCCCTAGTTTCTACACACTGCAAGTCTGATCTCCTTGGCCCGGTCAGCATATTTGAGAGTATTGTAAGTGTCCTCGTAGGTCAGGCTGGAGGGGCTGATGGCAGCGATCATCACTGTGCGGCAGTTCCCCCCAACAGAGTCCTTGAGCAGACGGGTTAGTTTGCTGTCCCGGTAGGGCACGTGAGACTTGCGACCCTAGAGGGCAGTGAGTAGGGGAAGAGATAGCTGGACTAGACTGATCAGGACAGAGCCTGGCAGCTCTCTGGCCCAGGGTTGAAGGGAGGGACCACTAGGTTTAGGATTTCAGTTGCTGTCCCGTGGGGGACTGTGCTGCTTTACCTTCGCATCAGCCAGGGCATTGAGGACGTTGATGAGGGCCAGCAAAGAGCGGTTGATGTTGGCACCCTCACGCAGCCGTTCCCCCTTGGCATGGGTGCTAGATGCCCGCTCTGAGCCAGCCAGGTCAATCAGGCTCATCTTGGCTACCTGAAGGGCCCGAGTCAGTCCTGGGACCCGGTCCTGTTGCTTCACGAAGATCTGAGGTTAGAAGATAAGGAGTGAGGGGCAGCTAGGCATCAGGAGCCCTAGCTTCAGGCCTTGGCCTATCGCCCCACTCACCTGGAAGATGGCGTGGGAGCGAGAGGAAGTAGCATTAGCATCTGTAGGGTGCTGTGTGCGGCTATGGTTGCCCCTGGTCAGCATCTCCAGCAGCTGCTCAGCTGAGGCTGGCTACAGAGAAGATGCCCAGGGAGGGAGCTATAGTCTCCCCACCAGAATTTTGCCCTGGCAAGAACGGCTGTTCTTCAGAGCCAGTGTCACCCCCAACCTTGTTACTGTCACCACCGCCACCAGCAATAGCATCCAGGGCATCCCCAAACTGCCTTCTGAGGGATCCGCAAAGGACTACCCATCTGAGCCCCATCCCACACCTGGTGGAAAGAAAGTCCTTGCACCACCACTCCCTTGTCAGGGTCCTCGCGGATGGCAAGGGGTCCTTTGGGCTCCAGGAGGTCATGGATCTGCTCGTTGTACACCTGAGGAGAAAGGAAGAGAGGAATAGGCTTGAGAAAGTCCTCCCCAGGACACCACCTGCGTGCCTAGAGGCTGGAGAGGAAGGGTCAAGTTGCTGGACAGGGAAGGATGAGACTGGTGTGCATTTGAGACATCAGCCATGAGTGGCATTTTGCAGAACAATGTTGGCTGATAAGAGCAGGAAGGGCTGGCTTCCTTCTCATGCAGTCTCTCCCTCGCTACAATTACACCTCCTGGGCTCTACCTGGACCATAATCCATTTCCTACCACCTTCTTCCCCATCACCTTCTCCACAGGTTGCTGTGAGAATGAGAGATGACAAGGACCAGAGCAGGAGCAGCCTTACCTCCAGGTAGCTGATGAGCACCTCAAATCGCTTTTCCTCTTGGCGGGCTTCAAGACGTCTATACAGTTCCATGGTAGTCAGGTACATGATGCCAGGGTCCCCCTCCCTTCCCAGCATGGTGTGTGTCTTCCCGGCCCCAGTGGCCCCATAGGCAAACACTATAGAGAACAGAATGGGGAGGAGGTGGCAGCAGGGTCAGATCCATCTCCCCTACAGCAGCCACCAACACATTTCTACTAGGCTCAGCCCTGCCTTCCTCCCAAGTCCCTTCCTTTGCCATCCACATCTGCCATTCACCCCATGTTTAAGCTTAGCCTTCAAGTTCTCTGTGTGTGTGTCTGTCCTGGCTCCCCACAGGCCTGTGGATTCCGGGGTAAAGGAATGTCCATTGTGGATAGGGGCTACCCTTCCTTCTCAAGGGTAGGGAGCACTTCTGATAAAGGCTTTTTCTCAAATCACTCACTTGGGTTTATAAACACACACTTGTGAGTATGAGCTCTGTGACCAGCGTCTTCTCCCTGTCTAGACTGCAATCATCAAGGACATGTCTGTCTGATTAGCTTCTGTATGCTAGCACCCAGTGGCATGCCTCACATGGCAGAGTGAATGAATGGGGGCTCTACAGAGAACCAATGGGCCAGAGCTCTCCTCCAAATGCCACGCCCAGCTGAGGGGGAGGCAGACACATGTCAGAAGACACAGAAATCCATCTCTCAGAAGGAAGCAGAGAGGCAAGGCTGCTATCCTACCCAGCAGAGCTCAGGTTATCACCTGAACAGTTGTAGCCTTGGAGGAAGTTATCCAGGATGCTATGTGTGGTGTGCTGGAACACATCCTGTTGGGTGGCTGCCTCACCAAAGACCCGGTCAAAGACAAATGTCAGGTCTTTGCTCTTCTTCTTAGGGGGACCACCATCATGGGGGCCACCCCATTTCAGGCCAGGGAATCCTCCATCGGGCTCTTCAGGGTCAAACACCAGCACCCGTTCATCTACCACTTGAATCACAGGCCTCCGTTGACTCTCTAACTCCCGAGGGGTAGGCGGCCGCACCCGTACCACCACCTGCACCACGCTGTCCTCCACCGCCATCACCATGGCAGCACCTGTGCAGAGACATGAGGGAGATGAGGATCAAGCCAACTCAGGGGTGCCCTCAGCATTCAAGGGCCTTGAATGCTGACCCCTCCTGCCCTCTCCCCATCTTCCCAATGGCTGGCCTCTACTTTATACCCCAAGGGAGTAAGAATTCTGCTACCAGCATTACTAATACATATCTCTTTCTTGTTTGAAATACCACTTTCGTCATATTCAAATAACTGCGTCTTCAGAGGGCCAATGCTGGGTTTCAAAGCTTAGTTCCACTAAACTATTTTTCTACTCTTGTGCCAACACCACACTGTTCCTACCATGTTACCTTAGAGCATGCATTAAATCTAGTAAGGCAAGAATCTCTCACTGGTCTTTTACATAATTTTCTTGGCTATTTCCAAGTATTTACTATGCTATTTGACTTGGTTCTAGGGCTACAGCTCAGTGGTACAGCACTTGTCTAGAATGCACAAGACCCTGAGTTGTTCACCAGTACCAAGTAAAAAAAAAGGAAAATTTTATCAGTCCTATCCTGAACTCAGAATCTCCTCCTCAGACTCAAAAATAAAAAGCCTACTGGAAAAGCTGAGCATGGTGGTACATACCTATAATCCCAGCTACTTGGGAGGCAGAGGCAGGAAGAATGATAGTTCAAGGCCAATCCTGGCAAAGTTAGACCCTATCTCAAAAACAAAATACAAATGAGCCGGGCACAGGGGCTCACATCTGTAATCCCAGCTACTCAGGAGGCAGAAATCAGGACCTTGTTTCTAAGCCAGCCCGAAGCAAATAGTTCGGCCAAGACCCATTTCGAAAAAAACACATCACAAAAAAGGGCTGATGGAGTGGCTCAAGATGTAGGCTCTGAGTTCAAACCCCAGTACCACCAAAAGAAAAAAAAGGAAAAAGAAAAAAGTTAGGAAGATCCCATCTCAACCAATAAAGCTGGGCGTGGTAGTGCATGCCTGTCACCCCAGTTATGCGGGAGGATCTCGGTCCAGACTGGCCCCAGACAAAAACAGGAGACCCTAATTCAAAACATAACGAAAGCCAAAAAGGGCTGGGGGTGTGGCTCAAGAGGTAGAGCACTTAATTATCCTGTACAAAGTCCTAGGTTCAATCCCCAGTACTGCAAACAAAACAAAACAAACAAAAAAACAACTGTTGGGATTACAGCTGAAATTGCATTAAATTCACATATTTATTACATTAAGCCCTTCAGGCAAGAACATAGCTATTGCCTATTCAGATATTTTTTATGCCCCTCAATAAGATTTTATAGTTTTTCTATCTTTTCAGATATAATTGTCCTTTTATTATAATTCTCAAGTATTTTATGGATTTAATTGCTTTTATGAACGGAACACCTTCCCCTACTTCTATTTCCAGCTGGTAATTGCTAGCATGGAGAAACACAACTGAGTTTTAGATATTTGTCTTATACCTACCACTTTCAAACTTATTTATTTAGAGATAGGGTCTCACTATGTAGCCCAGCCTTATCTAAAACTCACTATGTAGCTCAGACTGGCCTCAAACTCATGGTCCTCCAGCTTCTGACTCCCACGTACTGGGTTTATAAACTTATGACACCATGTCTAGCTAGGTGAACTCTGATTTACTTTTAATTTTTTAATTATAGTTGCTTGGATTGTCCAAGTATGCACTCATTTATCAGAAAAGGAAAAAAATTTACCTTTTTTTCCCTCCATATTTATTCCAACTATTCTATTTATCTATTATAAATAATGTATTTGGTATAATAATTAATTATAGTAGTAATTATAATTATTGCATGTATGTATGTGTGTTACTCACTCAGGGCCTCACAAACACCAACCAAGGGCTCTACTGCTTGAGTCATGCTCCTAGCTGTATTTATTTCTGAGATAGGGTCTTGAATTCACCATCCTCCCGCTCAGCCTCCCAAGTGCTGGGATTACAGGTATGACCACCACACTTGACCCATTTTATTTCTTATATATTCCAGGCTCTACAACTCCTAAAATAATGTTGATAATTACATTATCAACATTATATTATATTGTAAACATTATATTAATCATAATTAATAATGATGATCTTATAAGAAATGGCTTTAGTGCCTGACTATTCAGAAATTAGCTTGGGATAGTCTTTATCATGTTAATAATTTTTCCTATTATTTTATTATTTTATATAGAGTTGTTATTAGAAAAGTTTAGAATTTTATCTAACGTCCTTTTAGCATCTTCTGATGTGTTGTGTCTTGGGGTACATTTTTGACTATTTCTTTCTTTTTTTTTTTTTTTCCAGTAGTGGGGCTTGAACTTGGCCTCACACTTGCTAGGCAGGCAATCTAGCACCTCAGCCACTCCGCCACCCCTGTTTTGTATTGGGTCTTTTCCACAGGGTCTCATAAACTATTTGCCTCGGGCTGGCTTTTATCTTCATCCTGCTGATCTCTGCCTCCTCAGTAGTTAGGATTATAGGCATGAGTCACGGGCGCCTGGCTGGCTATTATTTTCTTTTTATTAGGATATATTTGTTGTACGGGAGGATTCGTTGTGACAATTCTTTCTTTTTTTTTTGGGTGGTACTGGGGTTTGAACTCAGGGCCTCATGCTTGCTAGGCAGACGCTCTATCACTGCCAGCTGAAGAGTACTTTCTCTACCAATTTGGAATGTTAAATCTAGCTTAACTCAATTGTCATAGAAACATGAATTTATTTGTCAACTCTCTGTTGTGTTCTACTAAGTCTATTCCTTTTCCAGTACATCACTATTGTAATTTCTGGGGTTCTGTAATATATCTACCTTTGCTTCCCACCCACACCCCTCCCCCCCACACCCCTCCCCCGGCCCCCTTTGGCTATTCTTGGACATCTTCTCTTGCATGGGATTTTAAAATTGGCTTATGAAGCTCTATGAAAATCCTACCACATTTTTTTTTTTCTCTTAACCCATGTCTCCCAACTCACAATACAGACCAGGCACAGGGCCTGGGCTGAGGTGTATATGGGGTAGGTTTACTTTGCCTCCTCTTTCTATACAGTCAGTGTGAGAACACAGCCTGTGGTAAGCACCAGGAGGCCCCTGCTAGATTTTAATTTGGATTATTCTGAATTTATAGATTAATATAAAAAGACTTGGCATCTTTATGATATTGAATCTTCCCATCTAGGAACTGGTATCTCTTTCCATTCATTCACAACTTCGTAATCTTCAGTAAATTTTTATAATTTTTCTCACGAGTATCACATAATAATTCTTGATAGCTTTTATTCCTAGCTTTTATCACACAGTCTTTGTTATGTTGTGAATAGGTGCCTTTTAAAATTACATTTTCAAATTCGTATTTTGCCAGAATATGGGAAAGTTTCGGATTTCTGTATGCAGATCACGTATCTGGCCACAGTGCCAAACTCCCTTATTAGTTCTAATAGATTGCCATTGATTCTCTTAGGCCTTTCAATCAAATGATAATATAGTTTGCAAATAATGACAGTTACTTTCTATTTTTAGTTCTTCTTTCTATAGTTCACCCCCCCACTGCCCATTAGGGGTGCTGAGTTTTGTCAAATGCTTTTAGCACTTGGCAAAATGATCACACATTATTTCTCCTTTAATCTGTTAATGTAGAGGGGGGACACAACAGATTTCCCAGTGTTGACCTGCTAATAATTCCAAACACTCACTGCTTATTCGGTTTTCTGGTTCCCCACACCTCTATACCTGGTTTTTTTGTTTCTCCTTTGAGTCAGCTTGCCAAAGGTAGGGATGAATTTTTGGAATGCAGGAGTCCCAGATACTGTGTGGAAAAGGTTAGCCTAACTCTGGGGATATAAGAACAGGGGTAAGGATCAGAGGCTGTTTCTGGGGGATGAACAGATGAATGCTGTCTTAGTAAAGGCTAAGTCCTGCACATTGGACACAATTACCAAGGTCATTCCGTGGAGAAAAGTGGGTTTCCTTGGGGAATGAGGCAGAATTGAGCTGATTTGAAACTCCTATCCCCTCATCCCTAAACTTAACTTCTTCCCCATGCCAAACAAGGGAAAGATATCAACCAACAATAATCCTATTACATGTGTATAATTCAGTTTTTGTCCCAACAATCAGATTGTCATAATAAACATATTAGCTAAATGCTCACTATATCAGGGACTGTTCAAAGCACCTTAGAGTTATCATCTCATTTTATCTCCATTGTAATCCCACAAGATAGATAGTATTATTATACTCATTTTTCAGTGAGGAAATTGAGACTCAGAGGGTTAAGCAACTTGCCCAAGTCCCAGTGCTAGTGAGTGATGGAGCCCCGTTCCCACCCAGGCAGTCTGACCGCAGAGCCTGCACTCCTGCCTGATAATGATATTAAACGTTATACTCTGATGATCACATGGTTGTAACAGCCCATTATGTTTGTATATTATAATCCCTTTATGGAACTGCATTATGCATTTTGCAAACACAAATATATGGACTGTACCGAATTTTCAACCCTCAAGAGTTCCCATCTTTCATTCTTGCATTCTCACCCCCAGGAATCCCACTCTTCTACCAAGAGAAGTAAAGGGATAGAATGTGTGGGTCTACATTGGCTGCCTTCCTGGCCAGCCCAGCTGCCCACGGGGAGAGTTCTGGCTGAGGAGGAGCCACAGAGCAGCCTCACATTCTAAGCAGGAAATTAAAAAGGGCATTGGCAAAGGAGCACGCATAACCTTTACAGTTCTCTCTTCTCTGCCTCCTGAGGGCCACTGAGGCCAAGTCTGTTTGCCTAATGAGATGTCTTCCTTCTTCCTGAGACAGTGCTGGGAGCACAGGGTACGGGATGCAGGTGACACTTGGTATGGACACCCCTAGGACACCTAGGTCCTGGTCTTTGTCCTGCATCTGACTTAGGGGGAGGCCCTTCCATGAGCCACAGTGCATCAGTGTCAAATCAGCTTCCCCCCGAGCCAGAGAGAACAGCTAGCAATCTGCTCCGCCCCAGGGGAACAGGGAGATTAATGAGAGAACGTTTG